TATTTTATATATTTTTATTATTTTATATATTTTTATTATTTTATATAGTTTTATTATTTTTTATAATTGTATTATTTTTAAATATTTCTTTTTTCATTTAATTAAAATTTGTCTTCATTTAATTGTGTGTTTCTATTTTAATTGTTTTATTTATATTTAAAATGTTTAATTTTAAAAATTTTATATATTTTGATATTTTTTCAACATTTTTATATTTTTATTTTTAAAATTTTTGTTATTCTTAACACTTTTATTTTTATTTTATATTTTTTACATAAATTTGTTTTTTATAGATTAATATTATTTAAATTTTTCGTGTTTTGAAGCCGTAGTCGAATTTGGGTTAACGTTATTTGGCGCAACTGTTTTGGTGCCCAAGCAAAATAAGCTAGGTATGAGAAAATTATACTAATTTCAAATTTGTTTGACTTTTTTATGTAAATTAAATTGCTTTTTTTTGTGATAATGCAGACTCTCTCTGATCAACATTTTCAAGTTCTACGGTGACTGCTACCATTTACCAAACCCAACACGTTCTAGTGATTTTTAATTTGATATTGAGTTTTATTTAGTTTTTTTTTTTCTAGCCTCTAAGACTTCAATGAAAAAACAGACACCAAAACAGATTCTAATAAAATTTGCACAGCAGAAAATAATATTTGTACGAGATATATTTTCTATGTCATTCGAACTCGCCGTCGTTTTTTTTTTTTCTTTTTTAATTCGTTTCTTGCTTGTATTGTCGCTATAGTGAAGATGATGCTGCTTAGTTATTTCCAAACGATTTGTTACAATCAGGGCCAAAGATTGTTATTTGTCTCCTTAAACTTTCGACAAAATCGAAAGCAGTGCAAAAACAAAGAAGCTCAAAGAGAGCTCTACGAAAAAATCGACGACAATGGACAAGCACAGTAAAAGTTAAATAAAATTGCAATAAAACCACAATTTTTTTTTTTTTTTGTTTTTGATACTTGTTACTTGATCTTTTTTAAAAGCATATAAATTAGTTTTTATTTTTTTTTTTCATTTTTCTTTTGTTCTTCATCTTTTCTCTTTAGCTCTTTCATCAGTTAAACGATTATTATTACATACCTACTACTTACATATGTATACAATATAAATACAAATATGCTTTACACCAGTCATGCCCAGCGCAGGGCACTTGCATATGGAATTCTGCCAGCGCAGGGCACTTGCTTATGGAGTTCTGCCAACGTTGGGCACGACTGCTTTACACGCTCCCTTCTTCTTAGGTTTTTACACCCAATATAACAACAGCAACAAGTGTATTGCAACTCGCCAATAAACGAGGAATATTTTTATGTACCCTAATTTTTATCTCTTTTTCTGGCTCCCTTCCTCTTTATGCGCATTGAGCCCCTGAAATAACTAACGACTTGTATTGGGAGAGAGGAAAAAAAATATTTCCTTAGGGCGAGTATACATGCCTACTACATGGAGTATACTAAACATTATGTGCTGTTACTATTTTCCATTAATTAACTTAACAATTTAATTTACTTATACTTTAAATAAAATGCTAACTAAAGTAATTTATTATGTAATTGTACCGACCGGGTCGTGCGAAGGTGAATGTGATATGAAGAGGAACGCTTAAGTTTTTTTTTTTTTGTTGAGGGCATGACATTTAAGCTAAAAATGTATATATTTGATAAAAACAACTTACTTCGACTTATGACGAATTTCCCCCTAGACAAAGGAACGAAGGAACGACACAAATTTCAGGGACAAAGTACGGGTTTAAATAATTACCGCGTCCATTTCTTACATGCCAAACTTTTGTTTTGTTATTTTTGTCATTCAAATGACCAGTGAAAACTTTGCATTAATAATTTTTTTCGATTGTTTTTTTTTTTTTTTCTTGCCGATTCTTATTTTTACAGAAAAATCAAAAATTTTAGTTAACTTTTACACAGTTTAGCCTAGAATATAGCAATTAAATGTTCACCGGGTTTAAATTGTTAATGCCGAATATCCACTGAGCATTCAAATTAAAAAATTTAGTGTGCTTTAACGCCAGTTAAACCCTTATGAAATAATTTTCTTGGAACAAATTTCAAATTTGTAATATTAAAAAATATTAATTTTTGTAGACTAAACTTTGTAGATTTATTGTGATAGGCCATTTCCACCAAAAGCTTGACTGCAGTACAGAGCTGTGATAAATTTCAAGAATTTTTACACGTGTTGATCGGTAAGGTCAATTTCTTACTATTTACTTTTTTACTTTCGTTTGCTTGTACTTGTACTGTGGTAATCTTCATTTTCCAATAGGCATAAACTGCTTGGTGGAAATGAACTATAAGTCAACAATGGTTTAACTAAGCACTGTGCATTAGGCCCTAAGTCTGCTTCCATCTGAAAAAGCTACACTTGAAAAGCTACACTTTTTTGATCTTTTTATTTTATTTTAGTGAAAACTCGGCATTAGCCCCATTTTTGCAATTTCGTGTTTTTACTGAAAAATTGCATAAATGTTCTATGGACGCCCACTACCCAATTCCTATGTAGAATTGCTCGGTGATCCCGAAAATCGAGCTATTATTTTTTTTTTTCTATGGATACGTTTTCGAGATATTTTCAATTTACCGTTTACAATTTACAATTTACAATTTACCCGAGAACAAAAACCAAATTAAAATTTGTGATACAGCGTTGCCAAAGGGAATAAGTCAGCACTTTTTTCGATATGACAATTTGGATGATCGGGTTTTTTAAAGGAACTCTGTTGAATTTGCTTCAAATTTGCTATATCGAAAAAATGCCAACTTATTCCCATTGGTAATTAACCCTACCCTTTTGGAAATTCGGTGTTGGTCGATTTAAGTTATTTTGTCAGAAATCAATGTTGAATTCGGATATGCAAAAAAAAAGTATCAACAAGAGAAAAAGCTATAAGGAAAGAATTTAAATTTTTTCGCAAAAATTTGCTTGTCAATAAATTTAATAATTGTTCTGTAGAATTATGAAAAATAAATTCTTCTAATTTCTAATAATGCTGCGTGCATGAAATGCGTATAATTTAAACAACATAACCTCAATTAAAAAAAAAAAAAATCAACTTTTTTTGCCAATACAAGCATAAAATATAAAAAATTCAACAACATAAATGAATGTTAACAAGGTAAGAAAAAAATGTGTGTACCCGATACGGATATGCAAATGCTGTTATGATACACTTTCGAGAAAAAAGTAACTAACACTACTTTTTTTAATTTTTTTTTCTTTTTCTATACTCGTATATGTATTGTGTACCAATTGATATTTTAGGCTTAATACATAAAGTCGATTGCTAAAATAAAATCTAATTGGAACTATGGAACGCACAGCGGTCGCTTTTGTTAATATTTTATTTCTTGTATTTTGTTTTTGCGCACACAGCAAATTTTACTATGAAACGCAGCATCTAGCAATGGAAGTAAAGATTTGCGATCGTCCAAGCGCTGTAGCGCTTTATGCCAATACAAATACAGCGAAAATAAGTGACTAAACACTTAATAAAAGTTTGACGAGCTTATGAAAAAATAATAATTAAATAGCGATTTCACATGTTGAAACAGTTAACTAAAACGAACAGAAATCCAAGTATTGCATTTTTGCATTCAATGTCTCATAGTAAAAGCTGTAGTACTGAGTTTCTTTCCACTTTACTTCCGCTTCAAGCCCCACCCTCTCTGTCTCCGCCTCTCTCTCTCTTTCCATAAACATTGTCAAATGATAATTTTCACATCAATCACTATAACGTTAACTCCTCTAAACCTTTTTTATTTCTTGCCAACTAATTTGCAATTAAGAGTGTCCCCTAACTACCTAGCAATTAAACATACATATGTATTTACAAGATTTAGCATTGGATTCGCTTTTATGTATAGTTTTTTTTTTATATATATACTATTTTTACAATTAATTGCATGAACCTGTATCTACTTTTAAATATAGTGATTTCCTCAACTGAACGCCGTTTTGTGTGTGTGTGTGTGTGTGTGTGTGGCGCTTGCACGTTTTAACCTTTTTCTCTAAACCACCCACATTAAAAAAAAAATCGCTCGGCCAAGGGTAGCTTCAAGGGTGGGCAAACAAAACTTTCAATTGTGCACGCACACACTCTCCTGCGGCTCCCTAGCCAACTTCCAGCGCATGCGCGTGCGCATTCATTGCGTGAAAGTTTTGCCTGCCCGCCCGCTCGCTTGCTCAACAATCACTGGCAGAGGCAGGCAGCCAGCTTGCAATAGTTTATCCTATTAAAAAGACCACAACAACGCACCACAATGCACAACAGCGATAGATGATACAGTGTCCTTATAATACTGTCTGTCTCCGTACTCGGTACATCATTTTTAGCAGCGCGCTACAGCATCAGCAGCAGCAGCAGCAGCAGCATGAAATGACACTAATCGTCTCTAAATAGTCTTCTACTATGTGTAACCAAACGCGTTAGGAGCGGCGATATTGTTGCATCATGTCGGCCCATTACTACTCCTTTTGGCTGTCACTTTCGCCATCGTTATCGATCCTGTAGAATCCATGCTTGAGAGCGTACTATTGTCGGCCAGCGGATCGAGTATTTCTCCTTCGTCCGCTTCTGAGCTGGCGTCCACGTCAGCAGCTCTGGTAGTTTTCGTGGTTTTGAGCAGCCAACGGTGTAATGTCGTTGTGCCAGTACGTATATTAGCAGCAGAAACGGCGACACGCGGCTTTTGTTGCCGTCGCCGATGGGTCGTTGCTGCATTAAGTTTCAACGTTGTTATCGTCGCTGCTGCCGCTCGTCTACAATTCGGCGTACTTACAACTGTTGTTTGCACAGTCGTACTCACTGGCCGAGGTTTGTGATTGGAGGTGGCATTCTCCGCATCACTGTCCATCAGGTGCTCTTCTTCGCCCATTTCGTCTTCGCATTGCTCTCTACTCGCCGCCGCTTCCGTTGCCGATGCGACTTTTGTTGCGGCCACCACTCGACCACGTCGGTTTTGTGTTTGTGTATCTTTTTTTTGCCATTCGCGTGGCACCTGATCGCACATCTGGTAGCACCGGACTCACATCTAATGTCCACAGATTGATTTTCACCGCACCGCGTGAACGCGTACGCGGACTGTTGACATCGACGTGGTTCTGGTACGCTGCAGGTGTTAACGTCACATTCGTGGCTGTGGCCTTAGTTGCCGACAAGCTGCTATTTGCCGTACCGCGCTTTGTCGCCGAGGCGTTCAAGTGCGCGAGAGGCGTCTCATTTTCATCGGAGTCTGATTCGTCCGACACGTTGTAATATGTCGAGTTCGTCATAGTGGTGTCCTGTATTTGCGTGTGTGCATTCCACACGTCCAAACTGTTTGAATTGGTGGGCGCCTCTGAATCGTTTCGTCGTCGTTCATTCACAAATGCACGTGTTCGCGCGTCAGTTTTCTCATTTTCACTGTCGTTATCGTTAACGTTATCGTCATTAGCATTATTGTCGCTCACATATACGATCTCTTCATCCTCATCTACGTCATCATCGAAGTCATGTTCGGCAGTATCGAGCACTGTTACATAGCTGGAGGCATCATTCTGACTCTCCTCGCCCTCGGCAGTGGCGGCGGCGGCACTTTCGTCTTCAGTGATAGCAGCTGGCGGCGGCGGTGTAACATTGTTAGCCCGTGAGTTGTACTTCCAGTGCGGTGAGTATTTCCTTGGCGATTTTTTGCGCGCAGTCTTTGCTTTTTCCTCTTCTTCTTCACTCACGTCCTCTTGACTTTCTTCTTCCCTCAAATCTTCACTGCAATGGCTATGTGCGCTGTCGTAATTCATATTCTCATTTTCCGTATCGTCCTCTTCCGCACTAGCCGCTGTACCAATATCTTCCGCAGCTTCCCGCTCACTATCGGCTTCAGCTTCGTCCTTATCACTGTCGTCTTGGATATGTTCGCTTTCACTGGCCGATTGCTCGATCTCCTCTTTATCATCGCTAGCGGCTACTTCATCATCATCCTCCTCTTCTTCGTCCTCATTATCATCACTTTCGCTTTCTCTGCGGCGATTAGACTTAGACCTATTTGCACTCGCATTCTTCTTCGGACTGTTGCGCAGTTGACGCCGCTGAGCTGCGCTTCTGTTCGTCAACTTTTCAACTGGTTTTCTCTTGGCTGGGGGTGACTTTGCTGCAGCAGCACCACCGCTTATTTTACGCTTTCGCATTTGCGTCGTCGCAACAGAATTCGCTTTGAGCCGGAGCAAGCGGCGATTCAGCAGTCTTTGATTTTTCACACCCGTCGCGTTTCTCCTTACCCCCGCAGCAGTTACGCGTTTATCATTTGTCGTCCCATCGTTCGACAATATATCGCAATCTGTATCTGCTGTTGTAGCGGCTGCAGCTGCTGCCATTGACGTGCGCGTTGTCTTTCTAGTGGATTTCACTGTTGTCGCCGTCTCCAAATCATCTTCCGATGCTGTTGGTGAGGGCGACCTCTTTGCTCTGCGCATATTACTACCCTTAGCAGAACCTTGCACACTCCTCGCTGGTTCTTTCTCACGCTCAACACTATTACCTCTACTCTTACTACTGGCATTGTTGGCCCTGCCTGCTCTGACTGTTTTACCACGCAAACATTGATTAGTCCCTCTACGAGTTTTCACTGGTGCTCGCCTCTTCGACATATTACTATTCTGGCGTGCTCTCACCGCACGGCTACTTGTCGCCAGAGTAGTAGCAGCCTCACTGCTACGCCGGCGCCTATCAACTTTACCTCGCCCTAACTGTTTTTTAAGTACTCTTCTGTTCGACTTAATCATAGCTTTTCTTCTAATTGTAGATCCTTGATTTTTATTATTAACCTGATTGCTTGCGTCCTTGCGATTGTAGGTGAGCATTTCATCAGCTTCAGCCTCCTTTTTCAGCATCTCCTCTTCCTTTTGCAATGCAGCTAAGCGGTTGGCTTCCCATTCGCGCTTTTGAGCTTCGATTTCTTCCTCGGCTGCACGCAGTTGTTCGGCGGTCCATGCTGCACCGGTTTCTTCAACGAAACGCATAGCGTAGCGCTCGATTGGCGAGAGCTGTGGAATAGAACGAATGTTTTTAGTAGATTAGAGAATATAAATTTAAAGAAAATATGCATTGCTCTAATTTTCTCTACCGCTTTTTCTCTGAACCACATGAAGGTGAGAACCTTAGAGAAATCACCTTGGAGCTAACTAACTAAGGTTTGTTCGTCCAAAATCCAGCAAGAATTATCCAAAACTCAAAATATCAGAGAGTAAGAAAAAATTCTCTCAAATCTCTCTCATGTTGAGAAACTTGCAAATTTTGCAAGGCAGAATGCAACATTATTTCGAGAAAAGAAAACGCTATTAGTTTTTGAGTGATGGATAATTTTTTGGTCTGCACGAACGCGATTTCGTGCAATTTTTTGCTCGACGAACAAACCTATAAATACAGAAATGTAAAACGTTGAGTGATATAATCAGGCGTTTATATTCGCTTTGACTATGTCTGAACGTCGTTGAAGATTTATATTAGCACCAGACCACCGCGTCCAAGCGAACTTAAAATCGAATTGAACAATTGGAAGGTTAATGCCGTTATTGTGTTACAGATAGGGTGAGTTTTAACATTAACCCCTTCATTATACAGCAAACTGCTATCTAAATTCCAATTCATATTTCAAAATAACCAATACTATTTTAATAATTGCCCGTTTCTTCAACCCGTAACAGTACATTCTAACATACACTTACCTGCTTCACGAGATTTTGCATTTCCAAATCCGCTTTACTCATCTCCGCTGCTGCAGCGCCGTCTGCCGTTGTCGTTTCATCAATGGGTATGGTCTCATCGAATTCTGCCAAGTCGGCAGCCGCCTCCGCCTTCGCTGTCTTGGTTGCCTGCACATCCTGCTCGTCTTCGGCAGCAGCTAGAGCGCTCTCAAACGCACGCAACGACTGCTTTTCCGTCTCAATTTCACTGCCCAGCTCACTGACAATTGCTGCCGCACTTGCTGAAGAAGTCGTTGGTTTCTCCGCACGACCGCCGTTAGCCGCACCAACAACTGCAGCTGTTTCGCCGCCATCTTGATCGCCTTGTTCCAAATTGAAAAGATCTTTGATGGTGGAACTTTTGAAATAAGTGGTCGTAAAGTTGCCACCTTCGATCGCCATATCGCTTAGCATGCGCTTTTGATTCGCTTTTTTTAGTATATTCACTTCGATTGTTTTCTCAGACACCAGCCGATAGATGTGCACATCACGTGTTTGACCAATACGATGGCAACGATCTTGCGCTTGCGCGTCCATAGTTGGATTCCAATCGGAATCGTAAAATATCACAGTATCCGCGCCGGTTAAATTAACACCAACGCCACCGGAACGTGTCGACAATATGAAGCAGAAAATGCGTTTGTCGCCATTGAAGCGCTCCATTAGCACTTGACGCTGTTCGACGCGCGTCGAACCGTCTAACCGCAAGTAGATGTGTCCATGGTAGTTAAGGAATGCCTCCAGCACATCCAACATTTTTGTCATTTGTGTGAATATCAGCACACGATGTTGTCCGGATTTCAGTTGACGCAACAGCAGATCAAGGGTTTGTAATTTGCCGCAATCGTATTGTATGAGACGAGGATCTGGAAACTGTGTGGTCATCGCTGAGATGACTGGATGCAGCAATGTCAGCTTGGGTGAACAATATTGTGCGACAGTGTTTTCAATTCTACGCTCACGTTGCAAACGTCCCGATGTGAGATGCTGAACGTAGAAGCGTATGCGCGGCGCACACGCCGGTGGCACATAGATGACGAAATTGCTGAAGGTTTGTCGCAGATCTTCAACGCGCTTCTCATATGATTTGATTATTTTGCTGAGCGTCCAGCAATCGCGCCGCGCCATGGCTGTACAACAGTTGGTGTGACTTCGCGTTTGCCAGCTGGAGTACTCCAGCGTCTGGCTCGGCCTCACACATTTCGTCAGTGTTGCGCGACAGTCCGCCCCATATATAGGCACACCCTCTATGCAGCGTCGATTCACAGCTGCAACCAATTTGAGGCGCGCCAAACGCTGCTCCTTACGCTTTTCCAGTATTTTTTGCATATTATATATTGGATCGGATTCCGACGTTTCGGTTCCTGCAGTTTCTGGCTCATCAACATCCATCGCAGCGTTCCCCAAATCGTCGGTTCCTCCAGTATCGGTGGTGGTGCTCTTCACCTGCTGCGCAATAGTGGTTAATAATTTCGAATTTTCCGGCTTTGGCTTAATGCTTATGCCGCTCTTCCCACTGCTACCCGCGCTCATAGCGGTTAAACTGGTATTGCCACTGCCGCTTTTGCACACCAACGTTAAACGGCTACCCGAAGCGTTACTTCCACTCACGGTATCGCTCAACGAACTGCTACCAGCCGAAGATGTTACCAGGAAATACGGCTTACCGCTGCCATGCTGCACCAGCTTGGCGATTTTTGCCGCAGGTGGCGTCAAATTAGTGCTCGCTTGTGGTGCGACTTGTACGCGCGTTACTGATATGCCCGAGGCGGTGCGTATGCTACCACCAACACCACTGCTGGCCAGTGAAATGGCCGCCGAAGTGGATGTTGAAGGTGCCATCGACAAGGCGGGCAATTTGGACGTGTTAACGGGGTTTATATTGTTCAAACGCTTTACAAGTCGCAAATTTGCTGTATTCGTTTCACGCAATGGTACTACTTTCTTGCCATCTGTACGCATAGCAGGACTAGCGCCGACGCGTACCATAGCCGTGCTGTGCTGACTCAGATTCTGCTGCACTTGCTGATCGCGTACACGTATGTAAAATTTGAATTTGCCACGCGGGCAGGGTGGTGGCGGCGCCGGTGCACTGTCGATTTCCTCAATTAGCTTACGGGGTGGCTCCAGAACGCGTGACTTGTGCGAAACGTAAGCAGTGAGGGTGAGTTCCAAATCAATTAGAAGTAAATTTAACGAATGCAAATCGATGCGCTTAAAAGAAAAAAAAAACAAAACAAAAATTAGCACGTCAGCGTACGTATGCAATGCAATTGACGTTTTGGAAGTCAGCCTATCTATATGTATATGTGGTGTAGTGGTAAGCAGCGCGCGCTTCCACTCAGCAACGCTTGGGTTCAAGCCCTGGTCAAAGCAACATCCCAAAAAATATAGAAAGAGGTTTTTTATTAACAGCGGTCGTCCCTCGGCAGGCAATGGTTAACCTCCGAGTGTCATGAAAAACCGATTCTCATAAAAATACAATCGCCGTTCTGAGTCGGCGTAAAACTGTAGGCTCCTCCGCTTTGTGTGTCAACATCAAGGTGCATGCCACAAATCGAAGGAGAAGCTCGGCCAAACACTAATATATGTGTAAGCGCCAATCTATTATTATTATATCGCGAATAGTACATCCAAATTTCAATCTTTGGGGACAAATTATAAAAACTCAAAAAATGTTTGCCTAAATTTCTAACTTTTTATTCAGAATTTTTAGAAATATTTTAGGTATTCAATTCTAGCAAGATGTTTGAAGTTGTTTTTGTTGACGGTGCTAGATAATTTCTTCCATATAAAAATTTCAAATTAATAAAATTCTGACAACGTATAAATTACTTTTTGATGATACGTAAAAAACCAGTTTTATCAAATCCTCGTGAGCGCCTAAGCGCATCTATGTTTTTTTCTTAAAATTTACTACACTCTATTACTTTAATCAGACAAATGCCTCGCAAATGCGAACATCCTTTTTATCCCGATCCGCTCAATAATAGATTGGATCAGAATGTCAGTGACATTTTATCATCAGTTTAAATGCTGAAATTGTTAAAAAAAAAAAAAAATGCCATCTCAAAAACATACCGTGAATGGATCGTAATCCAGCAAATTATAAACTAGCCTTGGCGCTTCATAGGTTATGCCTTCCATTTGAAATGGCGAAATGGTTGGACGTACTTCAAACATATTTGGATGATTACAGACTTTACGTAGCTGCATAAGCACATTGATGACACTTAGTAGATTGCCTGTTTGCAGTGTTTCCTTAGTTCTGATGAGAAGATGGGGAAAAATTTAAGGTATATATTGCAAAGGTTAACTTTTTTCTTGGATAAGTGCCGTTTCCTCATGTAGGTTTTAAAATTTATCTCCCCTTCAAAAAATTTTTTCAGCACAAAATTTGTGTTTAAAGGGCAGATAAATTTTAAAACCTACATGACAAACCGACTCTAAATCTCTTACAAAATGGCACTATCAATTTGTCAACAAACTCACTTTGAGCGGCTCATAAAATCTTCATACAAATAGCGTTGACGATTCGACAAGCGACACATTACGACGTGCTCGTATTTCTTGGGCATTTGCTTTTCGACTTCTTTTTTGAGACGTCGCAGCAAGAAAGGGCGTATGACCTGTTGAAGGGAGAGCAAGTAAATACAGATAATTGCGTTAGATGGAAATTTCGATTGACTAACTTACCTTGTGCAGTCGGCTTATGAGCGTTTCATTGTACTCCATGTTGCCTTCAATCATACCGGTCATAGGATTGGAGAACCACTCTTTAAATTCGCGATGCGATGAAAACACATATGGCATTAGAAAGTGCATAAGCGACCATAATTCCATTAAATCGTTTTGTAGTGGAGTGCCGGTGAGCAATAGACGTCTGAAGAGAAATGAATTTGAATAAATAAATTTTCAAAAATTAATCAGCCCTTCTAAAATATTAGTATTAAATTATGTCTTCAAAGCATTTGACAAGCCAGCGCAGATAATTTGCATAGTCTCTTCATAAAAAGAAATGCTTCAAATTATTGCTTTGAGCACCCAAGCGTAGTTCTTATTCTAAGTAACAATTCGAATAAGCACTGATTATGGTGCTAAATATAAGTACTAGGTGTCTATAGATTGCGCACAACTCACCTTTCTGTGGAGAAATTTAGCAGCAGCTGCCAGCGTTGCGACTTGAAATTTTTAATGTTTTGCGCCTCATCCAATATCAGATATTTCCACTTTTTCCTACGGAAACTCTGCTGATCCTGCACCACCAATTTGTAGGATGTTATGCACACATGGAATGCATTAGGTTTTGTCCAGCCCACACGCTTAAGCTTACGCTCTTTTTGCGTGCCATAGTATGTGAGTATCTTAAATGCCGGACACCATTTCTTAAATTCCATTTCCCAATTGAGCATCACCGATGATGGCACGACAATCAGATGTGGACCCCAATTGCCTTTAACGCATGCTAAATGCGCTAGCAGCGCTATCGTCTGAATGGTTTTACCTAAACCCATTTCATCAGCGAGTATGCCGTTCAATTTACGTTCATTCATGGTGACAAGCCAATCCAAACCAATGTGCTGATACTCACGTAGTGAGTGTTTAAGCAGAAATGGCACCGGCGTGACCACATTTGTTGAAGACAGCGTATTACCCTTAGGTTGTATGCTTTCGGCTAGAGCGGCGGCATCTTTAATCATGTCATCTTTGCTGTTGCCCTCGGTCTGCAAGGTAGAAGGAAGAATAGTCTCAATAAAAATTAAAGCACACAAGCCCACTAAACTTACATCTTCCAACAGACTCTTCAGTCCATCTTCCTGTTCATTTTCTTCGCTTACGTCCGAGGAATTCTCTTCGTCATTGGTCTCTTCCTCGTTATCTGACTCACTTTCAGTTTCCACCACAGTGCCTTCGCTGCTACTGGTGTCATTCTCCACTTCATCATCGTCCGAGTCAATTTCCATTTTGGCGCGTTTCTTTGCCGGCGGCGCTGCGCCTCTTCTTCGCGTCAACGTTCCTTTTGGTTCATCAATCTTGCCCGATTTGTACTTTTCCAACAGCTGTTCGACGGTTAAGTCGTTATCCGCTTCCAACTCATCAATTTCTTTCTGATGATCGATATCTTTTTCTTCTTCTTCTTGTTTGCTAATCGTGTTCTCATCGTCATCGCTGTCTTCATTTGCTTCGAACTCGGTGTCGTCTGCGTCATCTTCTTGGCTGCTTTTGGGGTCAACTTCCTCAAGTAAAATTTTATCGCGATTTTCTAAGTAGCCTTTTGGCAGATCTTTCAGAAAATCATCAAGATCCATTTGAGATTCTTTTTCTAAGGCCGCAACCTCTTCCTTGACGTCTGCCGCTTCCTCTTCAGCTTTGGCAATTGTTTCCTCATCATCTTCTGATCCAGATTCTGGACGGAAATCATCTAAAAGAAAAAATAAAAAAATAAGTGAGGGCGCCTGATTCAGCGAAGGGAAACTTCTCCTGACTCCTCGACAATAGTTACTTTTTAATTGATGATATCACCTATATCCTATTCTTAATCTTAATTTCAACTACAATCTCAATTTCCACTAAGGAAGCTTAATCTCAAAAATTTAAGGATCGCGTTGACTATCTACATATATGTATGTACTTACCATCAGACCCATTGCCCGCTGTCTCACGCTTAGGCGATGATATCCTACTGGAATCCATGCTTGGCGCACCACTAGCCCCCGCAGCTGTTTCTATTATGCTTTTATTCATGCCCTCGGCCAGCTGCTGTGAGAATTTCTCTGTCTGATCGACAATGAAGCTTAAATGCTGATCAAGCGCCTTTTTACGCTTCTCCTCGAGCTTCGTATGATGTTTGTATTCCACCAATTTCTCCACATTTGACCAAAACATTTTCACCTCTTTGGAGAGGAAGGCCGCTATCCGCTTTAAGTGTGCCTCATGTGCCTTCTCCGCCTTCTGTGCTGCATTCGCTTTGTCCTGGAAGTACTTCTGCACCATTTTGGCGCATTTCTTGGCAGCATTTTTCTTCCATTTGCGCTCTTGCGCAAAATCCGCTGCCAACCAAACCATCTCCTCTAACAAATAGTCCCAATGTGCCTTCGGGCGGCTGGGCTCTTGCAGTTTTGGCAACCGTTTTTCAGTCCATAATCCCTCTCGTTGTAACTCGGAGATGCGCTGCAGCACATAAACCTCCTGCTTGGCCTTGAACGAAAACTCTTGCGCGCTATTCGCTGCAGCGCCACTAGTGCCAGCGCTGCCGGACGTACTTAGGCTTCCGGCAGTTGAGCCGGTCAATGCGCCACTTGTTCCACTACTGCCAGCAGCACTGGCGGCGCTTGTGACATTACCATTGACGGAGGCAGGCACCAACACGGCGTTGGGAGTTGGCGAGTAAAGTGGCGGAGGCGGGTTGTTGTGCAAAGTGGTGCCTGGGGTGCCAGCTGACGCAAGAGCGGCGCCATTGCCGTTGCGTCGCAATACCGCAGGAGAGCCACCACTACCAATAGCAGGTACAAGCGGTGTGCCACCTAAAGAAAGCCGAAGCGGTTGGAAAGAGGAATGTGGAAACAATTTATTAATGAATTTTAATGAAATGTGAGAGGGTGTAGAGATGCGTGTCATATACGGCTCAGAGACACAACGAACATGCGTTGGAGGGATGCAAAAATCATACAGAACCATCAACAAGCGAAAGGCGATACAGGCAAAACCAATATTTTTATTTTCCAACTACAAAATATAAGAAAGGGAAATAAAGATGGCGGGGTTATATGAAATGAAACAAAAAATAAGGGAAATAATAAAGGAACAAGGTGTTACTGCTATCCACTTTACTCCCAAAGAAATACCGATGCGCTCCTATTTTTTGCTTTGTCTGTCTGCGATAATCTAGAATGATTAAGCTTCTGGATTGTAAGCAATCAATT